CCATGCACAGCAGAATGAAACACCACCCCATCCCGCGCCAGCTCTATGATCATTGCTATACTTGAGCCCATTGTCACAGCCACCATGTCAATCCATCTTGTTGAAGGCCTTCCCCTCTTTCATCAACCCTCCACCTTACCAAGCATGACATCCTTCTCCAAGGAATGGTCTTCTCTGACATGACCAAAGTAGGTGAGATGAAGTCTGGCCATTCTGGCTTCCAAGGAGCATTTCGGGTACACTTCCTCCAGGACAGATCTGTTAGTTCTTTTAGCAGTCCATGGTACTTTCAGCATTCTTCACCAGCACCACAACTCAAAAGCATCCACTCTTCTTCGGTCTTCCTTATTCAATGTCCAGCTCTCACATGCATACGAAGCGATTGGAAGTATCGTGGCCTGTGTCAGCCGCACCTTAATTTGCCGCTGTTTCTCCTCAATTTGAGCGGTGCTACGTCAGCAAATGGAGGTCTCGAAAGTTTTACCTTATCCATATGAGTAAGGCTGATTTTACTCTGATAATGCAGCTCTTGCCCAGTCCTACTTTGAGAGCTTTCTGAGCTAAGTGACTCATCTTCCTCCTCTGTACTGGACAATGTTTCCAGGCTATTCATAAAGTTGCACAGTAATGTATCAGGCAGTGTTTCTCTGCTATTCATAAGGTTTTCCCTGGCCAATTATTTGAGAAGTGGATGGCCTCCTCCTTCTTCCTAGTCTGTCAGTCTGCAGGCTAGGCTGACACCTGTGCACCAAGTGCACCCCACTCGGTTTGAAAAACCAGTGGCACAGCCTCAAGACTCACAGCAACACGTCACCAAAGTAGGACAAACCAACAGACAAGTTTGTCTCCCTTAGCTGTTGGAAACCTCTCCAACCACCCTTACCTGGATTACTGCAGCTGCCTCTCCATCTGTTCCAGTCCCCTTTGCCTTTTCCGTCCTCTCCCTGCTTTCCCGCCTCTCTGCTTGTGGGGTGTGGCCTGGGTTCCCTCTCCTCACCTGGGTCCCTGCGGCTGACTCCTCCAAAGAACTAAGCAGATGATGGAAAAAGAAAAGGAGAAAAAAAGCAACATACTACTGATAGTGGAGAGATTTTTGACTGGCTGCCAGTGGGTGACGGTTGGGGTGCCTCTGCTCACCAGGAGGTTGTAAAAGGCACAGGGGAAGATCACACTCTAATCACTGATGTGGTTACTGGTGTACTCCTGCACAAGTGAACTGGTTATCTGGTTCTTCCTCCAATCTCAACACTACTTGTAATAATTCAAAATGGCCATGCTGTGGTGATTAGCAGTTTACTGCCCTGTATGCCTCTTTTTTTGTTTTGTTTCTTCCTGTCATTGATAGTTGATATACTTCTTTACCATTTCCTTTGATTCTCTGCATTCCAGGATTGTCATCTGTATTCATTTCACTTGGTTTCTCGAGTCTTTGTTATAGATGGTCTGGGTAGTGAGTCTCCCCAGTTGGCCATCTTGGATCTTCTCTAGTAGTTTATTAGTTGTAGTTATTTATATATTTATATTTACATACTCTGTACACAAGTCCTCTCTGTAAGAGATCTGTGCTATGAATACTTTCACCCAGTCTGTGGTTTGCTTGTTCATATTCTTAAGAGTATCTTGATAAACAGAAGTTTAAATTTTTATAAAATGTTACATTTTTCTTTTATGTTCCTAAGAAACCTGTAAGGAGCTCTGGTATCAGTAAGTAAGGCATCTACTTCTGTAAAGATTTGTAGGCCTGGAAACCCAACAAGGGTCACTATGCATCAGAATTGACTCAATGACAGTGGGTTGTTCGTTGTTTTGTTGTAAGAAAACTTTATCTTCCCCAGGGTCAGTGCAATGTAGTAAATTACTTTGTGTGGCTTTTCTACCCATAAGTCTTTGTAAACTCCAAGGTGGAATTTGCTATGAGCAACTGAG